TGACAGACACAACAAGGACACCTCTGATATATATTTTTGTTATGGTACTACCTGGACAGGCATGACAAGGACACCTCTGATATATATTTTTGTTATGGTACTACCTGGACAGGCATGACAAGGACACCTCTGATATATATTTTTGTTATGGTACTACCTGGACAGGCATGACAAGGACACCTCTGATATATATTTTTGTTATGGTACTATCTGGACAGGCATGACAAGGACACCTCATTTTCCTTTGTCATATGGGGTCATTATTGTGTAGAATACTGTGTTTCAGATGTGTAGTGTTCATTCTCAACAGGAAATGCTTTTGAAATCTGAATTGATCACACATAATCCAATGATGAATTTGTTGTAGAAGTATCTATAATTTTCTTGCATTCCTTGATATAATTTAAGGCCTGAATGATTGCTGCTTAAATACTTACAATGTACAATTACTTAATTACATTTGTATATTTTTTGTTCATAAGCGGTAGGGAATGTTTATCTTACGTAACTGAAATTTGGAAAGTATATTCAGATGAGAAAATCTATAAATTTTGTATATTTCAATGTAGAAAATACTGACATTCAAAAAAATATCTGCCCCAATGCGAGTATTTGTGATCAAATGGATTTATAGCTGAAAACCGCAAAGTACAGGACTTGTGAGGCTATGAAATATATAATCTGAATTCTTCTGTAACGATGTAGAATTTGAACTTCAGAGCTGGATATTTTATGAGAAAATGGAGGGAATGAATCAAGCAGGGCGGATGTCTTTCGACTGTAACCATGTCACCAGGTTCCTGGAGCAGAAGGTCCAGGAGATGGAGGCCAGGCACAGCGAGGAGCTGGAGTCCCTGCGTGAGGAGAAGGTCAGCTTGCAGGAACTGGTGGCCAAGCAGAGCCACGTGATACAGGAGCTAGAGAGCCAGCTGGGCCAGGCCACCGGCAACAACACGGCCCTGCAGCGGCAGCAGCAGGAGCTGACGGACACTGTGCAGGGGCTGCTCAACCTCTGCAGCAAGGATGGAGGTATGGAGGGACCTGGCTGCCGCCGTGGGGCGCACCCCGGCTGGGGAGCCGTGGGAAGCTCGTCCCCCAACAGCATGTCGTCTTTCCCGCACTGGGTCCTGGGCTCATGATGCATCTCAGCCCCAGAAATAATCTCCGGCCACAAGAAGCTGTTTATATTAATGCTTCATTACACCACAACAGTGCGGCCGTAGAGTCCCAAGTAACATGACAAATAGGCAGTTTAATAGACTATAGAATGCACTTCCTCCTGAGTGATAATGAGGGATTGGGAACCACCAACAAAAAGGGGGCAAAACAGTGGGGGCCAGACAGTGTGCAAACCCAAGCCCTGCCTNCCCCCGGCGACATCGCCCGACGCTCTGGGTCACAGTAAATTTCATCTGAACACGGGGCCTGGAAGTGCCTGAGTGGGAGACCAGCCTGAACAAACTTCACCCCCCAGTCCTGCTGCTCTGTCTCAGTACCTCCTGCTGGGACACCCCCGCACCCCCCACACAGAAGGTCTTCCCATGGCTTCCAACTTGTCCGGTGCAAGATAGGAAGCGGGCCGTTAAAGAAGAGTCATGTGTCAAGTCTCAGCAATAAACACATGCCTAGTGTTAGATAAACAGTGGTCCTGCCACACTTCTGTACACTTATCATTAATAAGCATGTTTCCTGGCTATTCCATCAGTTTGCACAATTTAAATCCAGGACACAATTCAGTGAGCAATTTCATCAAGATAGGCTGAACCTGCCAGTCTTACTAATATGCTGCATGAAATTATGGGATTTAAAGAACTAATATATTTAATTAGATATTATATTACTGCTCTAGAAAGCTTCTAATCCACTTCTGGTTGTGATTTACAGAACTGTGTAAGGACAGTCCTCTGGGATCACAGTGACTGCTAGTCATTAGCTCAGCTTTCGCTGAAGAGTTTGAACAATAACCTTAGTAGAAACGTTGCCTAGCATCCGAAATAGGATTTTGCACAGCCATGAAGATCTGCATTAATCACCAGTAGATTTTTTGTTAGAAATACTACTGTATCCATAGCTGCATCAGACTGAAATATTACCGTACCCATAGCTGTGTCAAACTGAAATATTATCGTACCCATAGCTGTGTCAAACTGAAATATTATCGTACCCATAGCTGTGTCAAACTGAAATAGTACTGTACCCATAGCTGTGTCAAACTGAAATAGTACTGTACCCATAGCTGTGTCAAACTGAAATAGTACTGTACCCAGAGCTCTGTCAGACTGAAAGGCTCCCGGATCCATAGCTGTGTCAGACACAGGCCAGCTTGCCTGTCCGAAAGCTCAGTGGCAAACATTCAAATGACAGAAGCTGATAGAGCCTGCTGTCAGTCATACAGAGGTGTCAGGTTTAGGGTGATTCAGAAGCATTTCCAAGACTTGGAGGGTGAAAGTTGAACTTTGTAGGGTTTGCTTTTCCTGTGGGGCATCTGGTAACAGAATCAGAATCTCTTGTGTCCAAATAGGAGTTTTCTTGTTTCTGTTTCAGTATGATGATGTGTCAGACAGATATCTAGAGAGATTTGTGACTCCATCCTATAAGGGAAAAACAGTCATATTTGACCCCAACAACATAGGAACTGTACTGCAGGGGCTCCTCCTACAAGGGCTCCTCCTACAAGGGCCGTACCATCTATGCATTAGGGTGGGAGGCCATCTGTAACACTATCAACAGTGGTGCTGAATTCTTTGGATCACGGCATGGATTTCCCTGGGGAACATTGGGGAAATGCTCTTCTGTGATTCTGAAGGGACAATCTTTAGTGCAGTGTGCAGCACATTTCATTTATACAGAATCCAGCTTCAGGCACAAATCCCCGCTGGTAGACAGAGTGCAGCCCATAGATATTACGACATAAGTGTTTTATGTGCCGAATCATCTGTTGTTCTAGGCTGCTATCTTATGGCGGCCATCCCAGCGTTGATCGCAGCTGGTGAACTTGTAGCACATCTCAACAAGCTGACTCTGAATTATAGTGCGGGACGTTTGTCTGACATAGATATCATTAGGCCGTCAAACGTACCCTGTAGATTCACAGCTTGCGGCAAATTGCGGCTTGACAGAGCTACCTTGTTGTGTTAGTCCCTACGGCGCGAGGTTGTGGGCCATCAACCCCTCTCAGCGTGAGATCCTTGTCGGTGACACTCAATACCACGTTAAAAAGGTCAAAACGATCCTTCCAACTGAGGGCTCGTCCATCTGAGGCGTCCCGCCCCAGGATAAGCGATCAAAGCCACGTCTGAGGAACGCTGACATATTTTGCTTTTTCAGTTACATCTCCTACGCATCAACAATCACTGCAGAAATAACAATGAGGGTGAAAGCTGAGACGAGCGGCTCGTAAAAAATCGGAAGGAATTTAGTCCGATACGACCTAAACTTGAAGGGTAAATATAAACCACTTGTTATAACAGGAACTCAAAATTTATAGCTTGTAGTGTTTTGTCCTCAGCCCCTTGCTTGGTTTCAAAATATTGTGGCCATAATTATCTGCAGATGTAAACAGATATCCAGCTGACACTTCGATAATGCTGTCAAAGTCGGGCCCTTTCTACATGGATGGTGATAGATCGTAGAGTCAATTAAGGCTTCTAATGCTCTTTGTTCAACTCACTACGAAGGCTGCAGCATTGAAGTCAAAAATATTTTCTCAGTCGATATATCGCATTAATAAAATCTACGCACACACACACGTGCAGATATTGTAGGCACACACAAACAGATTGCGTTGGTTAATTTATATAACATAAAACATAAAGCATATTTCAAGTCTTCAGATATATTTATTCATATAAGTGCAGACGCCAAGTCTTCTCAAGCTTCCAGTATGAGATCAGACAATCCGTAAAAAAATATGTTTACTGAGCCATAATAAAACATAGAATGCCAGCACAGTAATAAGTAACATCTTTCAAGTTATTTCTGGCTTTCAAAAGGTATAATGGAACAGGTGTAGCTCAAAGATAGAGCCGGAAAATGCCTGTTCTGTGGCGCTGACGGCTGTCTTTTAGCGCCTCTTATTTGGATTGCTGGGGTGGATAGAGACATTGCCTCTAATTGCCATTGTGTTTCATGTAGTGTGTGTAATCCTTTCGGCATTTATACATAACTCCCTTCTACTAGACAACCTTTGGATGATACGTTCTCATTATATTAGTCCCTACGGTGTGGAAAAAAAAAGAAAAATGATGGAAAAGATGGTGGAATATTCAGTAAAACACAAAAGCATGATTTCTGAAGTGGGCAGAGTTGTACACACATTCAGCACACCTGTCAGTCATTGTGATAGAGTGGCATCTCGTCATCGGAGAATTAAAGCTTGCCGGGTGGATCGACCGGTCATAGAGGCGTAATGACATGTTTGGCATCTGATGACATGCAGCTGAGCATTTTCGTCCCCAAGGCTGCACTGTTTCTGGTTAACGGGTTTATTTCAACTCCTTGTCCCCGTTTGTTTCCTGCGCTCCCCACGTCTGTGGTGTTTTCTTTGGAAAGCTTCTTTGCTCGCAATGCAATGTTCAAAGCTGCAGGAGGTAACCATGTGACATCTGCGCGCTGTCCTGCAGCGGTGCCGAACAGCACGAAGCAGACCGACGAGGAGAAGAAGTTCCGCGACTGTGCTGACCTCTTCCAAGCTGGCTTCACTAAGAATGGGGTCTACACGCTCTACGTTAACGTCAATGTCAACGTCCTGGAGACCAAAAAGGTGGGCAGAAGCTTTTGAGCCATTTATTGGTTAAATGTTTCAGGTCTGGGTGAGTCTTCAATGTTCTTGAACTCATTTTTGGGAGCCAATCCCTTGATTGTACGTAAATATTTGGTGGGCTGTAGGATGTGAATATGTCCTCAACTGCGGCTAGGGTTGCAAAATTCTGGGAAGTTGGAAACTTTCCTAGGAATTAACGGGAATATATAGAAATTATTGGGAATAATTGCAGGTTAACCTATAACAGGGAACTTAAATGTTGTCTTGATGGCACTAATAGTGATATCATTGTGCAACCAAGTGCTTGTGAGTAATTATGTCTGCATAATAAAATAAGCATCTGAATCAAAACACAGTGCTTATAAGTCATATTCTATGGTGTGTTATTCATACAGTTTGCTTTCCTTGCCATATAAGGCAGCTCATGTGGAGTTCCATAGTTCAATATCTCCAAAATTTTCCCATCGAAAAGTTTCTTCCCATGGAAAGTTTCTGGAAAGTTTCCAGAAATTTTCCAGTCCTTTCCAACCCTAGTTGCAGCATATGGAGTTGGGAGTGGGGGGACTTCACATACCAGATGAATGCAACATGAAGCGGTGCCCAGCCTGCCCAACCATGCAATGTTTTAGGAGGCTGTGGTCTCCAGGTGCCTAATGCTGCTTCAGCTTAGTTTTACGTTTCTGGTGCTAATTAGCTAAATGGTTTATTAGATCAAATTAAAATACCTGTGAAATTAGTGTTGACTAAACCTATTTAGGTTGAGCTACGAAGTCCATCCCTGAGGTTTGGGTTTGGTCTGGGTTTAGAGGTTTTCTCTCCAATCAGGTCTGTGTCTCAGGTCTGCTCCCTGTCCACCTTTGTAGGTCTACTGCAACATGGAAGCTGCAGGTGGTGGTTGGACCGTGATTCAGCACAGGGAGGATGGCAGTTTAGACTTCCAGAAGATGTGGAAGGAGTACAAGATGGTGAGGAGCAGACTGTAAAAACACCTCCCTCAGTCTCAGTAGATGCTTTCATACTGAAGTTCCAGAACCTGGTTCCAGTCAGCAAGCCCCTGGGCTATCTCGACCAGGAACTTTTGAAGCTCCAGGCCACTTTCATGTGTCACTTTTACACCATGCCACAGGCACTGGGACCTTCATGGTAAATAAGCCTGGGAGATGCAAAACGTTAAACTTCACATGTAGTTTCATATGAAACTACACTGCTACACAAAAAAACAGAGGATAAATAAGTCATTTTGTTAGTTATTCGCTAGTTATTGGGAGTATCGATCATGATCAAACTGGGACACAGCCATTTATTTATATTTTACTTATATGGTCCGTGACGCGATCATGATTCCTATTGAATCTGGGAAGCAGCTCAATCTTTCGGTTTCCACAGATTAAACTTTATGGTGCTAATAATCGCTGGCAGGTTTCACTGCCAGCACCAGCAATATTAGACAAAAATATATTGGTCAGGGATCGAATTTTCAGATGCAGAAATATGGAGATGAAAGCAAAGAAAATATTAATTGATGCATTAAATGTAATTGGGGTACAAAAATAATTCCATCTGCTCAATTGCAATATTAACACAACAAAAATCCCTGGTTCCGGAAAAAGGTTCTGGTTCCAGAAAAACTTTCCGGCGATGTGAAAGCACCTAATATTACTTATTACTGCAGGTCATGGGAATCAAATTTGTGATCCAGATCCTCACAATTTTGGGTGCAAACCACAGTACAGACCTTTCCTTTAAAGAGTGAAAACAAGGTTGGGGTATGTGGTCTCCACACCGACCGCCAATGAAATGATGTTCAGAGCATTCGCTCACATACCACAAACCAAAATGCCAATTTGGAAGCATGCTAACTACATTGTTTCATTAATGAATAACCAATGAGGAATCTGAGCAATAGGTTAAATAAAGAATGGATGTAAAAATACGCCAGCTATTTTGGCCATCCACATGAGAAGAAGAGATCTGAGCGATCTTAGCTGACATCAGCCTCAGAGATTGCTGCTCCCACTGGGAAATCGCTTCCCTGACAGGCCTGTAGTTTAATGAGATAGATGTGCCAAATGGAACATGACTCAATGACTCCAGAGAGCCCAGCACTGTGCACCAGGGGCTTCCCTGCACAATCGGGGGGTGGTGGGGGGTGCCACTGAAAGCGGGGGCACTGTGTGAAACAAAGAGGAGGAAGATATCCATGGAAGAAGGATGCCAGATGGCACCGGTTCTGTGCACATTCATCAATCCGCTATCCCAGATCCGGATTTGAGCGGAACGACCTGGGAAAATTCTGAGTGGCCTGTAGGTTTGGCAGTGCAGGACTGGCGAAGCACAGTAGCACCAGTCTTTACTGTATCCTGTGGTTAGTCCAGTTAGAGAACATGGAATACGAAGAGCGTTGACTCTCTTACCCAATTGACTCTTACCCAATGCAAAAGGGCCCTGGATCAATGTAATGATGATGATCTGATGGTGTGAGCATTTCATTCCAGGGACAGGTTACTCCTGTGAATAGATTTTAATGATTTTAAACTGTGACTTTCCAAGGGACCCAGAGCTTTGAGGGATAACAAACCAAGCTCCAGTAAGACTAGACTACCCCTATCTACCAAGAGACCCTTGATCATCAGAGAGGCAAAGAGGCCTGTGATGCTGAAGTGTGTCTGAGAGGTGTTATGAATGAAGACCAGTTTACTTGTGACATGTGGAAAAGACATGACACCACTCAGAGTGGGAAGTTTGGTGAATCTCTTGTTTACCCTCGCAAATCAGGACAGTTGATCAGCCAATGCTTACTGATATATGCTCTACACATATGGGTTGATCTAGAAGACCAGATGAGAAGGAGCTGTGGATTCATCCTGGGATGTCATTTCTACACACAGGGAAGTGAAATGAAGCTTGAACAGCATAGTTCACGACTAACTTCTTTCAAAGAACGTCAAAAGAAGAACTCAGCACGGAGGAGTTGATCAAACAGGCCCTTAATGCGTGGAGGGGAACACTGAATAGCACAAAAACATGAAAACATGCAAGGGTCAGGAAACAGCCAAGACAGTCTTGTTCTCGAGAACTGGCCTGTTGTTGGATTGCATGTGAGTCAATCCTGTGCAGAAACAAATGTGATGAACATCATGAAGGTCACCCACAAGGAAAGGAGAAGAAATGAACTAAAGAACTAAAAGGAACCAAGGAACTAAAACAAGAAGAAGTGGGCAGAATGCATAAACAGTTACTGTAGGGAAAAAAATCATATTAATTTGGGCCTTTTTCAAGGACTCGTGTAAAGAGAGAAGTGGGCATCATATTCGCCAGAGTGGGCTGGAGTCAAGCCATTAATTAAAAATTGGAGCCAACCTTTATGTAACTTCGGAATTTGTTCTAATATTACCAGCTGTGCATTGCAGCTGTCAAAAACAAACATCACAAGAGTTGCCGGAGTGATTTTGATCACAAATAAACTCTGCAATTGCTCAAATGGTGCAAGAGCATGAACATGACATTCAGTTGGACTGTGTAGTTTTTTTTTAGAGGCCTCAGAAAAGAGCCAAATATATAAAAAATGAAAACACAGTTTTGTGTGAATCTGCTTTCAGTTTGCATATTTTTACAGGTACAGTCATTTATGCCTGGAATTGGTTTTATGATCTAAACCAGTTATTAAATGACTACAGTGTACAAGCATTTAAGTTATGTCACTTTTGAGTGCAATTAATGTAAGGAGCCATTTTACTGAGGCGATGCTGTAATACTGTCTAGTACAGTTTTTCCCAACCCAGTCCTCGGGGATCCCCAGATTTTTGCTCCCTCCCAGCTCCCAACAAACCTAAACCAGGTATTCGGAGTTCTTGGTTGCCTGATGCTTTAGTTCTGGTGTGCTAGAACCTGGGAGGGAGCAAAAATGTGGACTGTCTGGGGGAGCCCAAGGATTAGGCTGAGAAACACTGGTGTAGAACATGTCAACACAGCTCATCTGGTCCTCAAACTCTTGGTCATCCAGAAATGTCCCTCAGGATCAATGAAGTGTCTGTCTGTCTGATCTAAATGATGTCACCAATAAAGGATGGGCCCTTTCTCTCCCTCACGCAGGGTTTCGGAAGTGTATCTGGAGAGCACTGGCTGGGGAACGAGTTTGTGTTCCTCCTCACCAACCAGCGGCAGTACAGCCTGCGGGTGGAGCTGATGGACTGGGATGGGCGGCAGGCCTTCTCACAGTACGATAGCTTCCGCCTGGAAAACGAGAAGCTGAATTACAGGTATGGGGGGGAGGGAGAGTCCTTAGTACAGCAGACTGACTTCCGCCCCTGTTAAAAGATCAACTGCATATAGTTTAAAATAGATAATTATGGTACTGTATATTCAAAATTTTGACTGATACTGACAGATTTATGAGGAAACTGCACTGTCAGAAGAAAGGGTACAAACAACATTAATGTTCCCCCAGTGGTACAAAAATGTTCCTCAACATTTATTTCTGTACCTTAGAGTAGACTAAAAGGTATATTTACCTGTCTAGGGTACAATTGGCAGACCCTTGAGGGCACAACCCCAGTGACAAGTAATTGTACCTTCAAAGGTACAAATCGGTACTTTTTTCAGACAGCGTGCCTGACCATTTCACTTAGTCCATCTTTGCCGTTCACCTCGCTTCAGATTAAGGCCCCTTTGTTGTACTTTCTTTTTGTATTTTGCTTTTTTTTCGACACCCCTTCGCACTTCAAGGCTGAAAACACAGGGGTCCCTCCAGCTGGGAGGATCAGGGCAGGATTTTTGGTGCCACCAACATTTTTATGGGCTTAACCGCTTGTCACTTGTCATTTAAGGAGACTTCCTGAATTGTGAGATGACAGCACAGGTCTTAGGTTCCTGTCTCCAAGTGCTAAGTCCTGTCCTGAACTCACTTTGTGTTTCTGTGGGATGTATAAATTAATTTCATATGCGACGCTGTTGTGAATCATAGGAACTACACCGTAAAAACCTCCCGCTGTGATTAGATTTGGAAAATGGCATCAGCTTTTGGGTTCAGCAAAATGAATGAGGTCATGTGATACAAGGGCAGCAATAAAATGAACTATCAGGAAGGGACTGAGCGGTGACTTATCAATCAAACCTCATATTCCCAGATATTCCCAGTCTGACCACGGCGACATCTCCAGCCAGCTTAATTATTTTCACTAAAGAAGTTATTGCGTAAGCTTGTTAGAAGTCACGAAGATGTTCTGCGAGCTTCTGAACAACGCTTCACTGCTCTCCTGGAATCTAATCAGCATCTCTATAAATAGATTTGTTCTCTGAAGTACTCGCGGTATGATAATCAGGCTGTGCCTTACAGGGGAGGAGACCAAGACACACCATCAGTCTCAGACCTAAGCCAACCAGGGGAGAGAGAGCGCTGTCTGCTGATTGTGATTTGGCAGTGTATCCCAGCACGACCTGTGACACCCCCNATAGCCCCCCACATCCACCTTCCTCTGTCCGTCGTGATGCATGTGCAGGAGCGTGCAGACACATTCCTGTCTTTTTACCCTCTCATTAGTCTCCTCTCTACTGTAGCAAAAAAAATTTTCAGCAATATTAAACGCACGCTATAAACCACACACGCTTAGAGGCACGCACTTTAATCTGAAAATGATTATTTCGAGATCATTTGCAGGACTGCAATGCCTAATAATTGTCATTTATCAAATTTTGAGTATTTTGCAATGAAGAAATGTTCCCTTTATTGCAAACCATTCGATTTCTGCAATATCTATACTTATAGGGAAATGGCTTGGTCTACAACAAATAGTAGTTACTGCTCCAAGTAATATGTGAAATAAATCCCCATATCTTTTTTTTCAGTACACAGTATCCTTGTATCTGTAATTCTTTTTTTTTACCTTATTATATTTTTGTGCTTTATTATTTTATTTGCGGTTCGTCATGAAGTACATTAAAAAAAAAGCAGCATAATTGCGACATTACTCCTTGGGAAAGGTACTTTAAGAAACCCTGGGTTATGAACTCTTAAAGCAATGTGGGGTCATTGCAGCGTTGTACAGTATTTAAGTGGTTGGTGTCTCCTGGGGCTCAGTCTTAGCTGGGGAGGGATCTGGGAATGGTGTTAGCCTGATAAACAGGAGTCTGCAAAAAATCTCAGTAACACTTTACTTAAAGCAGTCATCATAATGCATTATAGATACCTTCATAATGCATTATAATGCATTCATAAAGTATTATTGCATTCTGAAGGTATCTACAGTGCATTGCAGACGAGAGCTTCATAGAGCATTCATAATGCATAATAAACATGGCTAAAATGTGTTATGCCTTTTTATAAATATATTCGTGTTTATGAATGCATTATAATGCATTATGAACATATCTATAATGCATTATACGAGTGGTTTAAGAAAAGTGTTCCCAAATTGACTTAGGTTGGCAGAGACGTGGAATCAGTGGAAACATCTTTGCCATCTGTGAGCACCTTCTGCTGTATCTGTGCGAGGGGCCACCTGGCCAACTAACCCTTGTCTTCCTCATACTTCCCACGCTACATGCTATTTCCCCTCTTATAAAGTGCCTGCTTTCCATGCTCGCAAAAAAAGAAATATCTTTTTATTTTCCAGACTACACGCTGTTAAGCAAGCTCTTTAATTTTCACTGTACGAACAGCTCTGAAGTGGAGCGGGGAACATTTATGACCTGACCCCGCAACCCCAATGCGAACTGTCCCGATACAACCTCGTGAAATCCGCGTTGAATGGCTCTGATCCAGCTCACCGTAATTATATATTGGCTTCCTCGATGAAAGAGTTTATAAAATGAGTCAGAGATCATATCTGGGTCTCCAGCAGTGTACAAGACCTTCATTTAATGGCAACCAGGTCAACAAAAAACAATGTGCCACATATACTGTAATAAGCCTTGTGAAATTCTTTGATTACAAAAAGGGAAGGTATCATTTCAAATCGTTTGCCACAAAACACTATAAAACTATTATAATAAAATTAAGGTTAGACTGCATACCCATCCATAACATCCCAGCTAAATATGTAAGTCAGCTAAATTGCAGTGTATGTCCTACAGTACTGTTTTATATAACTGTTAGGCTTTAAGTCTTAACAGCAAATTTTAAAAAGTACCAAATTAGAAGTAACAATTGAGGCATATTCCACCCCCAAAAATTGCCAAGATTATATGTTTCATTTCTCATAAACAGCTGAAAATGGCAAACCTCAATTTACATTATGGGACAGAGAAACAGTTTTTTAAATTGTGTTTACACACAGAATGTTTCGTTCTTAAAATTCTCTAATCTGTTTAGCGAAATTGAATTCGCACTGAAATGATCAATGCTGTTTTCACGAATGACACGAATAGCCTGCATATATCTGCATATATAACTGTGTTGGATGCAAGAGTCCAATATGGTTCCAATAAAAAAACAATGTAGTGATGTTTTAAACATTCACAGTAGTATTGTTTTAATAAGCTATTTCTGAACAGTTTAAGAAAACAAGGAAAAGCAATATTTCAGCATAATCATTCTCTGAGAAAATTAAGCTTGCAGTTTCTGAGGACAGGTGCAGTCAGCCAAAAATGTTGACTTTAATGTGCTAGAAGGACTGAGTATCACAGGATCTCCATTTGTACTCCTCATTAATGTGCATGGTGTGCCTGCACGTGCTGTTGTAACATTTCAGACATGAAATACAACATTTCCCAGAACTCAAGACTTTGGAAAAGCTCCTGTGTCCATATTTTTTTTCTCCCATCCCGGATCAGATATGGAGTCATCAGACAAGGGTCACGGCAGCCTAGGAATTAAAGATGGACATGGAGGTGCTTATCTTGTCCTCTGTATTGGACACAGAGGGATAGAGGTAACATAAAGGTGATGGAGGCTTCCGGAAGTGAACTCTTGAAACATGCGTGCCGACACTGACCTTCACCAGAGAGTTACACTCTATGTTTACTGTTTGGGATGCTTTACATCTTTATTTAATATACTTTTCCTCCAGTTGGCCGGTTCCTCAATCCAGGGATTTCTCTCTACTGTAATGGAAAGATTTGTTCTGGATTCAGACGATTTTCTCAGATATAATTGATGTGCTTTCTATTGTGGCCTTGCCAAAAATGCGGTTTTGAGAAGTCTTGGGGGAGGTTGGTCTTTGTATCATGATGTTATGGGATGTCAGAATCACCTCCGTACGAGCTCCAAGCTGCCCATTCATTGTAGTATGCCTTATAGCAACAGATGGGAATAGAAGGTTGAAGACTATAACTCAGGAGAGCGTAAATCCAAGGGAACACATCAGTTAAGCTTTAAGGATTCTGAAAAGTGTATTTTAGATCAAAGTCAATATTCACACTGTCATGCAGTGTAACACTCTGGTGTCTTTTCTGAGTGATAGTGACTTTGGCATAATTTGGCATAACCTTCTTGGATGGTTAGAGTAATGTGCACATCTCTACATATTTAGTGAAACCATGTTTCCGTGATAATGGTTGATCCTCACAGTAAGAAGTGACTGAATAGCCAAACACGTCTGGGGACCACAGCAGGAAATGGTGCATGGGATGATTCACTGCAGAAAGCCCTAGAATGTAGCATGACTGAGTCTGTGAGCTAGGAAGGATTCTCACCTAGCAACGGGCCGGTTGTCTTGTAGCATGCCCAATCACGATTGTACCCCCTCCCGACTCCCCCGCTGGTCTGTGCTCACATTGTGCTGTTCTGGGCCTGAGAACACCTGCATCATCACCGTGTGATGTTTCGTGTTGAAGAAGTCATAGGAAATCATTATTACATGGCACAATGGAGTGTCCTTATTTTGTGGCTTATTTGGAGTCTTTTTGGCCACAATGACACACACAGCCCTCTTATTATAGAATATGCACTGCAGTGATTTTCATTTAATCTTGCTGCACGTATAAGCAGATTTCTCATATTTTACCAAATATCTCTGTGTTTCTGTGTTGCACCCAGTCGTTCTTGGATACTCTCGTCAGCCAAACTTTCCGGCAAACTGCACCTTTGCTGCCATATTTATTAAATGGCCAGTTGCATTCACTGATCTCATACCTGAGTTCCTTGTCCTGGCATGGTTAACAATTACACTAGATGCGTACCTTGAAACTGAGTCATGCCCAGACCCACCTCTTCAAGCAGTCACACTAAAGAGTTGGATTTGTGGATTAACCACGTTATGTCTGGGCAGCCACATGGTGAACCTAGCATATCGAAGGTGACCTTCACTCATAATATTCAGCAATGTAATGGGGGTACAAAGGATTGTGGGAACGCAAGAGCCTGGAGCTGCTCTATTAGCCACTGCCAAGAGTGTCTGAAGCTAACACACTATAAAAGAGATGGTTTACACCGTTCTCGCATCCTAAAACCTTCATCATGTGTGAAGATGGAGGTTCTCTCTGCAGCCCATAAACGTCACCCCTATGCAGATAACTCCTTCCTCAGCTGATTCTGAGCAGTACTCTCCCGATCGCCAGCGGCATGTAGCTCTGGAAACACAGTAAGGGAATCTCCAGTTACCAAGTTAGCTGGATGGTTTGATTGCCGAAATGGTCAAGGATGCCATTCCATCAACTCAATTCTCAGTGCCAAGGACAGAGCCACCCTGACACATACTCGACATCTTTGGTACGGCTCTGAAGGAAGGAATTTACGAGCACAGGGTATCAGGACAAAACCACAAAGTCACTGTAACATTACCGTCGTGAATTGGCCATTTGATGTTATTCCAGTGAGCAAAGTAAGCATCGGCGAACCAATCCTTAAATTGCTGAATTTGGGTAAAGGGAACAGGCTCATTTGGCAAATGTTACAGGCACAAGGAGGTGTTTCGTGGCAGTGATGAATTCATGCGGCTTTGCAGGGGAAAGTAAACAGGACCCGTCGAAACAGTGAACTGGAAAAGGTCATTTACATGACTTTTCGTTTCTGTCGTTTGTCAGCACTAACGAGATGTAAAGAAACAGCCCATTCTCGGCTTTGATGGTGATTATTTATAACATGGTACACTGAGTGGGTTCATTGTTTTCTTAAGCTAAGCCGTTGTGCGTATTGCGTTTGCCGTTCAGACGCAGCGAATCACTTAGTGACGGCTGGCTTTCAGATTGATTTTACCTTCGCTTTGTCAGCCTTTCTCCTCCAGTTTTACTTTTGTGCTACATTTTGATATGAATGTAAACATACAAGAATATTTACTCTTAAATTTAAGTAGCGGTGATTTCATTCATTCATCTTATTTGTTGGTGACACTACGGTTTACTTTCCTCATTACATTATATTTAGGCTCTACAAGTATTATAAATAAATAAAAAAGCTACCCTTTATTTTATAATAAACTGCCATAGTGTTTACTTCTTATACTGAGCAGCGCAAGTGGTTATTTATTGTCACGTATTCAGCAGCCAAGCAACGTGAAGACATTTATGAAGTGCATTGTACTCATTTCACCACAACAATTCCACTATAATGGCTTGTTGGCTCCGTCTAGCTAAATGGCAGCAGTTTGCGGGGTGCACTTTGGACAGAGGAACGATGCTGGACATGTGGATAGGATTAAAGAAGTTATTGTACTTCGCTATTTCAGTCCCATGCCGGGAACCTGGAATTTTGCAATAGGCACAACACTATGTAGGCGTGTTGGGTAATTGTGCCCGATATACTGCCATGGCAGAAATCAGAACTATTTACCATATTAAACCACAATCAATTGTAGCAATGAAATAACGCCAAGAAATCTAGGGCCACTTTTCATATTATGCTAATTCAGTGCTATGTTTGCACTGCAGCCAAACGTATTGTTGGATATGGCTACACTTTCGCTTAGCACTGTACACAACATGTGCTGTTAAACACTTCCATTAGAAGAGATGTTGTTTGTTGCCAAAAAAAGAGAGCACTACACAGGCCATAAACAAACAGTAATGGCTGCCAGTGAAGACAACTTGGTGATTATGCCTAAGAGTGGCTAAAGGACTTTCTGCAGACAGTTAGCACAGCTGGTTGCGTTATGTGATGCAAGTGTGAATAAAGTACAGTAAATCTCCGTTCTCCGTTTTTCATAAGAAACACAGACAAATTTTATGTAGGGCTCCCATGACATCAGAAGACAGACAAGTGCACTATGGGAAAAGTAGTGATGGCCAGCCGCCGACCGCCCGTGAGCAGCCCCGCTGGGTCCCCACACTGCGGAGGGGGGGTCGGGGACTCACAGGCAGGGTCTGACACGTCTCCCTTTCAGGAAAGTTAGGGTTATTTACAGGCTTCCATTCTGCAGTGTGGTGGAAGGAATGCCACTTCCATAACAGAGTTCCCTGAACTGTAACCCCCCCTGTAGCAAACTGGGTGTTCAGCCGTGCCTGAACACGGATCTCCATCCACGTTGGGCCCTTTCTCTCTCTCTGCTCAGAGGACAGTGCAATGAACACGTACCGTATGTGCAAACATGACCCTCTGCTTCCTGTTCCACATGACTCCATAAGCACAGCACGTTTACACCCACGCTAGAATGACGTGTGTATACGTACGCGCATTCAGTGCGATTTAAATGCGATGGCGAGACAGCACTGATTTAAGCAGTGCGCATGGGAAACACTTTTTGCAAACCTTAAGCTAGCGTACCACTGACCAGCTGATTAACACGAGGAGTTGACTATGAATTGATACTTTGTGTGAGCAGACAGGTATGTAAAATATATGCTGAATAACAACCTGACATAGGTGATACACAGCAACATTTGCACTGGAGAGTGGCAGCTTTCTGTAAGCATGGCATTGCCCTTCCGTCCTTGGGTCCTATAACGCTTGTATGCCCTGCACAGCCCAGTTCTATAGATAAAATCATAACGAGGACTGGCTGCCTGAGACTTTTTTTTCTGTTTCTAATGAAGTCGATTGGGTTCACAGAAAGGCCCTAATGGGGAAATCCCTCGGGTGCTCGTCTTTACAGATGTCTGGCCCTCGGTTGTATCGCGGCTTGACTCGCTCTGCCCTCTGGCATCCGTCGTAGAGTAGCCGCATTCACTAGGGACCCGTCTGGGTAATTTTCCCCTTCCGGCGAGCGTGCCGTGTTTGATTGCCTTGCCAAACAATAGACAGTGTGTCACGAGGACAAAAAAAGGAGTGCAGCAACTTCAGCTTAATGGGCTTCATTGTGAAAGAGGGTGATAACATCTACATTCTCAAGAGGAATAACTGCAATGAAATAACAAATCTATCCATTTCCATCCATCTTTGTCTAATTTCTATAACTTCTTACCCAGTGCAGGCTTGTGGTAGGCCTGGAACCTGTCTTAGGAAAGATAGGGGACAAGAGACTTCCAGGCCAGGACTAAAATTAAAAACCAAATTAGAAGGTGACTTACTTATGATGCTGGGATATACGTATGACAATGTTCTCTTTTGCATATAATTTTCTTTGCCTTAATTAAAGTAATAATACTTCTACTATCAATCTGGGGTGCTTTTTCAGTCTACAGTCACCATGTCCGAGCCCAACTCACTGGATATATGCTGTGCTATTAGCGTTAGCATCCTGTGACTGCACTTATGTCCACATGGTATGCTTTTAGAGAGGCCAGTGTTCGAAACGCCACCCGTAACACGCCTGTCTGAGTGCGAGCTATGTTTCCGGAAATGGTTTCGTAAATCAGAACATGTTTCATTTTTCTGGCTCTGCTTCTCAGCCGCTGTTCCAAGGCCCTGAAATCTCATCTTAAGGGTTCTACCATATATTAATGGGGGGTAACAAAAGGACAGCAGGAGTTAATCAACATCTGTGTCTGATAGGAAGAAATGCCAAATTACCTTTTAATAGTACTCAAGAGCAGTTTGAAAGTGAAGCAGAATTCAAGTTTACGATAAATTTAAATGTAAGTTTAATGTCTGGAGATTCAAAATTACATTATGGCACTGATTTAATATTGTAGCTATTTATTAACTAAACAAACCACATAAAATATTATATATAATAATTTTAGTGCTTTTTAGCTGATAAAATAGTTTGTGTGTGTAGGCTGCTTATTACTGTATTCAATCTCTGTAATTAATGTATGATGTTGTTTCCATAGTTGCCAAATGCCTTGCATTGCCCAGGTCAGCCACTTACACGCATGGACATGTTATATAAATCAGGCGCGTAACTCTCTGCTGTCCGACTGACAGTCGCCGCTGGCATTCATGCACCAGGAGCCAAGTTATTAGCGTTAGAGGTCCTTATGCGTAGGTTAAGCAGTAATCCTGCCTGGCTGTGCGTTAAGGCCTTTCCTCCTACAGATGATTTGACCCATTTGACGGTGCCGAGCTCGGCTCTGTAACCCAGGAATGGCATAGCGAACTATGGAGAAATGCTGGACAGTTTATAGCAGATTCAGCTGGAGTTATGTGTTCAAGGAAAACGGAGCAGCACCTCTGTCACTCCATGTTTGTGATGTCACATCCTGTATAAAAAAAAAAAAAAACCTTGACACATGTTGCTATATTGCAGTGCTGCCCAATCCCGCCCCAGGAGAGCTACCACCCTGCAGAGCTTAGGTGCAGCCCTAATTTAACATGCCTGATATAAATAATCAGCCCAATGCAGCCCTGCTGTACTATCTCTGTCCCTGGTATTTTTGAGACATGACTTTATGATAATAGAAACAGGACGTTGAACGAACCACATAGTTTTTGTTTTTATATCACTCATCCTCGGAAGGTTTTTTCAGGCTGTCCGATCAAAGACATCAGAATGTGAGACAGTTTGTGTGATTGCCGAATCAGTATATTCTGCCCTTGAGGAAATGTTCTTAAATTTTGCCGGTGACCTCATTTCCACCCCCGGCCCACCATTTCTTGTTACCATTCTTTCTGTCCTCTTTCTCTCAGACTCTTCCTGAAGAGTCACAGCGGCACAGCGGGACGGCAGAGCAGCATGGTGGTCCACGGGGCGGACTTCAGCACCAAGGACCTGGACAACGACAACTGCATGTGCAAGTGTGCTGTCATGCTGACGGGCGGTAAGAGCTGCTTTCGCCATGCGCTCTGGGGCGGCGCGTTTAATAATGAACATTGCAGCAGATATGAGGGCCCCAAAGGTCAAACTGAAGACCAATCCATCAGATGAAGCCCAACGGATGAAGCCAAAACAAATTAATTCTGAACATACTTCTTCAACCAAAGGTAGATGTGGTTTATGTCAGTGCCACAAAAGCTGCAATAACTCTCCAGAAGAGGAGACATGTTGGGGAAATGAAAGACTGAAATTACTCACTGAAACCTAGTTTTTGGATGACTGTCAGTCACCCAAGATGCAGTGCACATGTGAATAATGAAATCTGTATGGGCGTCCACACTGCATGCTCTCTGCAGCCAGTGTCTGCACATCTTGATTTGAAACATACTACTTGGTCTCTTTTCAGGCAAGGCTTTCTGTGATTAAAAAGCAGCCGCTATCCAAGAAAAGTGAACGTCGATCGCTGGCTGCCTCTCAACCCAAACTGTGGCACAGGCTCCCACCTCGAACGGCTTAGAAATCAAAGATGCAGCAAGCGTGACCGTATTTTCAATTGTCCACCCATCTCTGAACGTGTAATTTCTTCATTTTTATTTCTAAAAGCTGTGCAGTAAATTAAAAGTAGGGTTGTGGATTCATATTTACATACAGTGAGAGAGGAAATAAAAATCTGCTTTCGTTCATCTGTCCTATTTTATTTGGATTCTAATGTGTAGGCACGACAGTGAATGCTCAACAAATGCTCTTCATTATATCCTTATTACCTGGCCACTGGAGTCTGCCAACTTTTTCCAAGTATCACTTTTTCACATATCTTTGTCGAGCTATGTCTATCGAGCCAGCATCTCAACAGAGCATGCAGAGAGTACGGCATTAAAGTTGCTTAATGCTGCCTTTCGGACTGTACAGTGCACCAGGGCAGTAGGGAGCATTGGACTCCAAACGCAGTGTTGTATTTTAGCACTGCTATTCCAGCTGGTATTTCAGCTGGTTAGGGTGAGACCTGGCCTGCCATTTACTCGTTGACTGGCACGTGAAATTGGCACCTGTGACACACTCAGTGTTTGCCTAGCCAAGTGGAAAAATGTGTGACCTCAGAAAGGGTCATTGGGTTGAGGATGGATCTTAAACTGTAGCCATGAATTCTGATGAATGGTGTAGGCTGAACAGCTAAGTATGGATTGTATGTTTACTAACTTTACTACATTAAGTTACTTAGCTGATGATGCAAACAACTTAAGCCATATTCACACAGGATTAGTTTTACCTAAGGAGGTTGGGTATTTTGTTTGTAAAGTGAGTTGACTGGCTGATTCAGACGAGTATAATTCCCCAAAATTACCAGAGATAATGGAGGTATTAATCTAATCCTGACCATTGATGTTAATGTCAGAGTTAGCATGTCTAGAAAGCAGATGACGACAGAATTTTAATTTTTGGCCGACCTGTCCATTTAACATAGTATTCAAGCACAACAAAAACAGAACTTTTCCCTCCCAACCATATATTAGCTTACAAATTGGTGTATTCAGTAGTGCTGCTCTTCTCCGCGCCTACTGAAAACCTTGATGCAGGAGAAACTGTAGAGGTATGTTGACAGATGTTTATGTGGAAAACTCAGTAGCCTATTCAAGCTCCATTTTTAGCGTCTACAGGCAGTCCTCGGGTCCTATAAAAAAAACAAATCGAGACGGGATTGATTCAGCTTACGCCGTTAGCGTCGTTCTTACGGACTATGCGAGCAAACTAGTTTGGTTGCACGCGGCGGAAGAATACGCAAAACCGTGAAAAAGGAAAGCCATCACGATGGAAGTAAAATTAGACATCGTAAAGAGATCAGAAAAAGGGTGTGTTTAGACCAAAATTCGGGTTACGTCACTGTCACGGAACTGTGTCGTGACCTGAGCACCCCCTGTATGTTATTTCCACCTTATAAAAATTGGCATGCCTTTATAGATATAACCTTATTACCAAGAGGACAGTTCAGACTGGATTACTGTTACTGAAAGAGGCCCCTGTTCACTGACATACAGAAGGTAATTTGCTCCTGAATTTTCACCCTGGAGGCAGATTCAGACTGGATTAAAATTATGGACCATGCTGGCAATTATGTCCCCGGGTAAAGCTAATCCTGTCCAAATAGGGCTTTATAGTTTCAACCCATAACTGAGAGCAGTGTTTCCCAATCTGGGTCTCGGAGACCCACAGACAGTCTACATTTTTGCTCCCCCCCTGCTCCCTGAGGACTGGCTTGGGAAACACTGATTTAGACAATTCATGATAGATGATGATCTTAAAGATTCAAACCCCTTCCCAAGATTTCAGCTGGCATATTGGCCGTAAGGCAAGGTGACCTGCCTCCTGATTCTGTCCTGTGTGCACGTTTTATCGCAGGAACATAAACGTATGGTCCTCTCTCACCCTTAATCCTCTCAGGACGTACCTCATTCGCCACATCTAATCATCGTCGCCACCTGTACCAGCTCCCATCATTCAGACTGCCATTCCAAGCATTGTGTCCCCGTGCTAACGCCTAGCCTTTCTCAAAATACCACCCATGGTTGTTTGTGACCCAGATGCATCCAGCAACACACACTGTCAATCAGTGCTAACCTATGGTAGTGGAGAGGTGAAGATCTGTGGAATGGAGGTTGAGAGCCACTCCTTTAAAGTCTACATGTTCGGGAGGGATGTGATCGCTGGCTGTGGTTTCAGGGATGAGTGTAGCTCACCCAAGATTATAAAACCTGCCCAGTGATATCTATTCTTACGGGGGTGTAGAGTTGCTTCTACGCCACCATTTCTTCATGCGTGCTATGGACACTTTCTGCATCCAGGCCTGTTGTGCCATTGATGTCACAAGAACAACCTGCTCTCTCTTCTGCTTACTGGCTTTTTCCATATGCTGATCATACTAAGAAGATAATCTGGTAACACTTTACTTGAAACTGTCATCTACTGTATAATGCACTATCAAAACCTTAATAATGCATTATAATGGTCGGTTTCAACATTAAGGATGCTTTGTAGTGCATTATGAACGTATCTACAGTGATTTTTAGATAGATTCATAAAGTTTTCATAATGCATAATAAACATGGGTATAATTAATTTCAATTTTCAAATTCAATTGTATTTGTACAGCGCATTTTCACAGTATTACATTGTCTCAAAGTGCTGTACATCTTCCCTGCCCAAAGCCCCCACTGAACAAACCAAGGGAAAACTCACTAGTAGGAAGAAACTTTGGGATGAAGCAGACTCAAGGGGGAGTCCATCCTTTAAGGGCTGGCTGAGGAAGTCAAACGAGCAAGATGGCAAAATCCTAATCTTCAGAGTCCAAATTTTACGATTCGAGTCTCAATGCAGGGGACAGGCAGGTGCAGGTGCTGCTGCTGCTTCTGACGAGCAGGATGAATGTTGGTACAGACAACGATAATGTGTTATGCCTTTGCGTAAATATTTATAATGTTTTCTGAATTCAGCATAATGTTTTATGAAGGTGTTCATAGATTTTTCTAAGGCGTGGGATTCAAAGAAAGTGTTACCATAAATTTGTCAAAGCATTTTGCATAGGCTGTTGGTTAATGTGCTATGTTCCAGAAAAACAATCCTTTTTTGAGCATGAAAGGAAGAATGTGGCCACTCAGAAATATTGACCTATCCCCCCCCCACAACTCTGTCTTTGGTACAGGCTGGTGGTTTGACGCCTGTGGCCCATCCAACCTCAACGGGATGTACTACAACAAAGGACAACATGTCGGCAAGCTTAACGGCATCAAGTGGCACTACTTCAAAGGTCCGAGTTACTCTCTTCGCGCCACGACCATGATGATTCGCCCATCTGACTTCTGAAGGAAGCCTCCTTCCAGCGAATGATGTTCATGGAGTCATCACCCAAGAGGAAAAGACATCTTGGTCTTGCAAGTTTTCCCCAAGACCAGTACTGGAGATGAAAGACATGGCATGGTCATGCTTTTTGGTGACAACTGAACTGTAAAGGCTATTAGCTGCAGGTTACAGTTACAGCCGGTCTATAATGGAAACATTACCTGAAATCACAGGATTTTTGACACTTGTGCTTTCTGTTGCTGGCACAGAGAAAATGCTGTTGAGCATTAGCATATATCCGCAAAAGAATAAACTGTGCTTGTTTATCCAGGTTATTTTTTTCTCCTGGTAGTGGAATCTGTTGCTCAGTCACCGAAATCATTAGTGCCATTTTCGGACACAATGCGAATCGCAAGGTGACTTTGAGCAGAGGCCCCGAAAGGCGCGTATCATCCGGGACGACGGACGTTCATGGCCCGCTGGAGGGCAGATAGCTGAGCCGCCAGAAGCTGTGGCGTAGAGCTGCCGAACGGACTCGCCAACGTACAGCCTGCCGCCGTATTCCTGACTGATAAGCACATATCGGGGTAAACCTGAAACCCATCCACATGGGATTTTTCTACATGTGATGGTCCACATTCTGGGACCTTGGATATGGAAGGACTCTGCATAAAAGAAGAAGACAAAGATTTAATACAATCATAACTTACTTTGTTTATTTTTTGTAAGCAGTATTAATATGAATTTCTTTGCATTCTCGGTACTTTAAAAGCATATATGGTGCTTTAACTGTGTCCTTATTAACATTAAACCATGTTAGTAGTTTCTGAGAACACCGCAAATGTATAACGGTGAGTCAACTTGTACACACGAGTGAGAGAAATGTGCTGGATTATAGGTTATTTTGGTAAAATACAAGTAAAAGCAACACTTGAAAATGGTGAAGTGTTGGTGAAAAACAACTAATCTCATTAAAGAAAACCATGTTAAACATCCATCTCATAGAGAACTTTCCATATAAATCTGTGATGATGAAAGAGGGGGTGATGAAGATGGTCTCCAAAATGGCTATAAAAATAAGACCCAATGTTCACCCAACTATAATCATTCATCTTCCATATCAGTTTGTCCTGGTGTAATACTAATAAGGGTGTAATACTTGCAGTAAAAACAATATAAATATTCATGATTAGGAGTGATTCATGTCAATATTGTTGACTTACAATCTAATGAATTTTTCATAAAGGAAGCGTTGCAAAAATTAAGACTCTCTGGAGATGCCTGGATTCACATTCTCCAACTCAGTCGAGACCGTTCGTTTTAATAAAGCAATGGTGTTTAGAAGTGCCCTCATGTTTCATAAACACAAGCAGAAATGTCAGTTTTGTTGCTCATTTTGTCTTTTTCCTTTGATGATATGTTTTATAAATCTTCGGTTATGTGAACGCACTTGTACAATGGTGACATTTTTATTGTTGCAGCTCAGTTGTTACTGAAGGCTAGCGAGGATTTTTAAATCTTCGGCATCTTTTTAATAAGGTTACAGCTAACTTTAGGGCATAGGGACAGCGTGAAGATGGCAGAAATGCCCCTCTCAGCTGTTTTAAATACCTAAATATTCTCCAACCATGTTTGCCTGAGTGGGCACTGGTGTGTCCTTGGGTACTCCAGTGTGTCCTCGGGTACTCCAGCATGTCCTCGGGTACTCCAGCGTGTCCTCGGGTACTCCAGTGTGTCCTCGGGTACTCCAGTGAAATTCAAAGCCATTTCTCCCTATACTTCATACTACAAGGCTGTAGGACAACATAAATAATGATGTGTCGGTGCACAGTGTGTACTGTTATGTGAAAAAGCAACTGTTTTTGTTCTGTTAAATATTACTGACAGGTACTTTGAAACAGGCAAAAGGTACTTTGAAACAGCTTCTGGAGCATGTAAAACTTTGCAATAACAAGTTTATAAATAGACTAAAACGGTGTAATATGATGTGTGTACATGTAAAAAAAATAACTTTCCCAAGGAAAGCTGTGTATTTGTTTCATTTCAGAGCCAGAGGTGCTTCAGGTACCCATGGCAGAGTGCGGGAAAAATGCTTCTGGACGACATGGATTTTAGCTCGAGGAAGCGTTTTAATTTTGTTTCAGTTAAATCCTTTTTGTAGAATGTGAAAAACCATGGATAATAAAAGCATGTGATGCGGCAACGTTTTTCACTCTGGGTGTGAAGCAGACCTTTACTCAATGGGTGCATGAAAATTACAATAGTGTAAGATATACTGTCTAAAAATAAAACAAGGTGTATAAATGTGCAAAGTATTTGTATTGTATTACAGATATAACGGCCCAGGAGAATGACACCGATGTGCTGCACTGCTGCTTGTGAGGAGGGTATCACCAGGGGCCTCTTACGTCAGACCCAGTATCTCCAAAAAGTGCATAGGCATTCTGTCAAGGACGCGACTCGAACCGATAACCCTCGCTCGCTGAGCCACACTCTGCACCAGTAGGACCTAAGTTCCACATCTTGCTTAAGAGGATGAGGTGATGATTAATACGCAACTGGGTCACGGGATGCTGGAAAACAAAGTTTGTGGCAGTTTCTGAGCTGCTTCTGCACATGTTCCTCATGGAGTCTGTAACCGCCCCCCCTCCATGTTCGCTCAGGGGCCACCGTCGCTGTTCCCGCCCGGGAAGAATCCCGCGGCTCACGTTGAGTCAAGCGAAACAGAAGAGGGTCGGATTTCCCCGCCCGCTCCTCATGGTGGCCTTTCTGCCGTCGTGAGTGCCGGCCTGGCTTTGTAACCGGCCTATCGGCGGTGACGGATGGCCAAGGTGCCACACGGTGCTGTCTGGGCCGCCGGCCTGCCCGTCGCTCACATTCCTGAGCCTAATCAGCGGTCAAACAAATTACCGCGGCTCGGAAACTGCAGCGTATCTCTCAGCGCTGTGACCCGCTGTGACCCGACCCCCCGGCAGGAATGCGTTTCGCATGCGGGGGTCCTGGTGCCCATGGCTGTCAGCAGCACAGCCTGCGGCACTGCAAGAAAAACAACACACTCTAGTAACAAAACTGTGTACTGAGGGAAACCCAGACAAATAGACAAACAGCAAAATCCAGAACATAAGTTCCGCACAACTAATATTGATGGTTTTGACACGTTGCTGCTCCAGATCTAACCAGCCTGGAGGTCTCGTGGTCCCAGGATTCAGTGAGGTCTCCTCAGAATTCAGCCCCCAGCAGGCATGCATGACCGGCCAGTTCCTGTTCCTGCAAACAGACAGGAAGGAGCTCCCAGTGGGATGGTCATGGCCAGCATGTCGGGGGGTGTTTGGACACTACCTGTGACGTTGACGGCGATGGAGAGTAGACCTCCCGTTTATAAAACTGAACTAATACACACTGTCCGAAAGTACAAAGTTCATTAAGACTGATTTTTCTGACATTTCATCTAGAGCAGGGGTGGGCAATCTTATCAACAAAGGGCCAGTGTGTATGCAGGCCCCCTGAGCAAGGCATCCCCCCAAGCACTGCTCCCCGGGCGCTGAATTAGCTGCCCCCTGCTGTGTCACGATGTCATATATAGGTTAAAGGCAGAGGACTCATTTTGTGTGCTGTGGTGTGTCAACAATGACCACTGATCACCAAATTCAAATTCTAATTATAACCTTTAGGTCAACTGTTCAAACCCAGGTTTGAGGACTATTCAGCCAATCAGTTCTCTAATTAGTAATCTAATTAGGGAGTTGCAGTGAAATCCTGCATACACAGCAGCCCTTTCTGGATAAGATCTGATCTAAAGGGAAAAACCACAGACGCTTATTTAGTAATTGACTGTAAGGACATGTTAAAGCTAAAAGCATTAAAATACACCAAGCTTAAAAAGCAAGATATGCAGTAACCTACAGATTCCACAATTTGGTCTGATCTCCAAGTCTAAGGTTCAGAGAACTATGCATAACCCATTTAGAAGATGAGAGCTGAATGTGCTTTTTAAAGCCACCTAAAGACCACTGAACGAGTGAAATGCTGTTTTCAGCCAGAACCTGAAATGAAAAAAGTGTGTAGCTTGGGTAAAAAATGTGCCAACAGCAGGGGAGACCTCAGCAAAATCTCCGCAGCAAAATGTAACCCTGCTGCAGGTGCGGCTGCGTTATTATTTTTTAGTTTGTAAAGGAAATTTGATTAGAAATAATGTGTGCCTGATGTTCGCATTATTACATTTCAGGACTAGGGAGGCAGGCCACAGACACTGCTGTTCCCCGGGCTGAGCGCTCTAGCGTGGCTGCGAGTCACGTGTTAAAGTCCAGCTGATGGATCAGCTCAACAACACGGCCTCTGAGGCGAGCTAAAGGCCAGCGGGAGCCGCAGGAACACTTCACAATGTGGTCCGAGAAAAATCCTGTCCTTACAAATAACTAAACTCCAACCAGTGTCCATACATGTGAGGCTGGACTCTTATCAAAGCACTTTTATGTCTTAGTAAATAAGATGGAAATGTGTCCTTTACAATAGGTGTAGCAGTTAATCTTCACCCCTATTGGTCTACCTGTTTCTCTGTGACTTTTAAGGCTTAAACATCTTCATTAAGGCCTCCGTAAGAGAGGAACAGCAGTTTATTACCTCCTGATATGCAAATCAGATTGAAAGTGTTTCAGAGTTCTGCTCAAAGCCAGATCCCTAAAGTCTATGTCTGTAATGTGTATTGGCTGGCAGTTTCCATGGTTCTGCATAGAGTATAAATGCCCTCCCCCCCCACGCCCGTCCCTCCCCAACACTTCAAACGCAGAGCACAGGGACTCCACATTCCTTACTAAAGGTCAGTGATATTTAATCTCTCACGCTTTATGTGCAAATAGTGGTTATTGGCAGAACATATTGGCTTTACTATTATAAGTGTTTAGCTTGGTGTGGTGGGAAACAAAACGACCATCTAGCTAATCCAAAAGAACGTTTGTACGTTAAAGAGGGCCCATGCTTATTTAGCAAACAAAATGACAAGGGCCAGATGTTTATAGGGAGTGTTGCAATGAAGGCGTCCAACTTCATGCCATGAAAAAAAAACTCTGAAAGGTGTGCAAAATGATGGATGTTGCCCGGTTGTGAAAGTGACACTAGTTACAACACAATTATGCATGAGGTAACTGGTTTAGGCAGTTTGAGGCACAGGATAGCAGAGCTAACCTCCACCCTTGCAGGGAGCCCTGTATTCATGCAATTCTCCATTAACCACTCGCGACAAACCAGTTAGCTAGAGATGCCAATTCACCTAACTGCTTATTTTTGAATTGCAGGAAGGGACAGAGAAGACCAGCAGAAGTCAAACTGCAGGTAGCTTTTCATTCTACTTTTTTCTAGCGTTCATTTACAAGGTCTGAGAAACTTTTTTTAAACGACAGAGTGACAGAACATCAGATTTTGGTCCATGTTTATTGGGCATCGGGGGGGAGGTTTACGCCCCCCCGTCGTTAAACTCTCAGTCAAATGAAACCTAAAGATGCAGAGAGAAATTAGCGATAAAAACAGTCTTACTGACTGACGTGACTGTGCCTGGAGAAACAAAAATACTGCATTTGGTCACAAACACAAACACGCCCTGAAAAACATCTCACGTGGTGAAGAGAAAACGAAGATTACCCAAAGACAACACTGTTAAGATGGAACACCAGCTGCATCTGAAGACCATCAACGCAGCAGAACCAACAAAGCGGCAAAGCAGGAATATATACTCTTTACATTTGCAGTGCAAATTGTTAGTGATTGTTAGTGTGTTAAAGCCATTAAATTGAATATTTGTTTAACCTTTCCAAAGATCTCATAAAAAATGTACTGCCGCCTTCACAGGCGTCAATAAAATCTTTCATGTAGAATTAGTGCCGTTGTCTGTGCTCAAGGGCACCATAAGTCTGGCACAGTTCAGGGAGTTGTATATTATCTTAATGGATTTATCTAGGCTCCTCTTACGAAAGGACGTCTCAGCCTCTACATCCAGGACAATGCAGCACTTTTTAGTGAAAGATCTGGCGTTTTAACAAAACGAGGAAAGCGTTTAGCAGAAGTGTACGATCCTCCATCAACAGCCCATCACTTTGACAAGGCTCTCTCATTTCCAGACAGGTACTAGGCGAGCTGCCCACAGTTAATATGAGTTTTTGGGGTTTGAGTTTGGTTTATAAGAATTTTTGTCACTGTCTGACTCTGTCTCCCCTGTCGTGTTTCAGTTTGACCAGCAGAGGTCTCTGTTGGCCACCCTGTTTCCTTCCCTTTTTCTCCCAGTCATTCACACCTGTTCCTTGTCTGGTCCTCATTATCCCTGTATATAGGTACCTGCTTGTGTCATGTTCTCTAGCTCAGTCATGATCAGTGTTAGCCTATGTAGTGGTGATTGTTGGTGTTGCTCTGTTCCCCTTGCTGTAGTTAGTCAGTGAGTTCTTTGTTTTGTTTCCCTGAACCTCATCTCAGTGTAGCTCTTATTGGTAATCCTGCCTCCTGTTTTTAATTCCTCGCAGTCCAACTGTTTCTATTCAGTTGTGTTTTGTTGCTTTAATAAACCCCTTCAGTTTCCATGAAGGCTGTGTCTGGGTTGTCCCTTCTTTTCTCATGTCAATCTGTCCTAAAAACTGTCAGAAAATAATGAGAAGAATCAATGCTGGGAATGTCATTGCTGGCAAGGATGGAGAGGTTCCATGAAACAAACTGTACCTATGTACTGATGTCCAAAGTCCGACGTCAACCAAGGAGCCCAGTCTGTCACACTGACAATCCATCTGAAGCAACAAGAAAAGAAATCTAACATTTTTTGGCCAAACCAGAGTTTTAGCCTTTGTTAGGAAAGCGTTAAGAAAATGATAGCAAATGGGCATGACTAACAGGCTGAGTATTAAGCTAAACGCATCTAATCAGCACCGGGAATCGTGTTCCCTTCCAGGAATGAGGCATTCCATGGAAATTGATATGCAAATATTTAAATAGCATGGTGTGTTATTCCAGAGCTCTCCTGAATAACCCTTAGCCATACATGTGTCATGTGTCTGCACGCCTGATCCAGCTAGCTAATGACCTGAAGATCAGCTGGTTCGATTAAGCAGATTGCTAGTTGCTGGTGTAGAACAAATGGCTGGGGATCCAGGGCTTTGGAAACCATTCACCTAAAGTAACCTAGAGACAATGTCAATAGTAACCGTTTCTACCAAAAGACACACTTTAGACCATGGAAACATTATATAAACATTGTACTATCTCTTCATTTAGAAGCAGTGAACCATGAAATGCAGTGAATGGGAAAAATGATGTTTAAAAATGCATGACCCG